CAGTTCTATTTTGCTTGTTCCAGGAATGGTAATCATGTCTTTGTTTCAAAAGTTGTTGATAACCATCTTGCAATAACCATTTACAATTCCTTTGTTATGACTTGCTTGTTATGCTCACTTTGCAACCATGTCTTTGTTTCAGGAGGTCGTTAGGCCTAATGTTTTGCTCCTGCAACCCTGCCTATTTTGCCTGCCAAGTCTGCCATTTGGAAACTATCTACTCCTGAGCTATGAAAGTCTTATTTTCCTCACATCCAATGCTGACATTGAACACCACCTTAGGGTGAGGTGGCAGTGTACACAAATAAAGAAATCTTGCTTTAATTAAGTTGGCCATGATGATTTGAGTTGTTGGTCATTCTCCTCCCTTCCTTGGGATTAGCACCATCTGTGTTCAGTCCCTGGAAACCATGTTAAGGTGGAAGGAGAGGACTGACTCCACAAAACTTGTCTTATGATTTCCACACAGATAGTGTGGTGTGCACAACTCCCTCAGCTCACAGCTAAATAGAGACAGAGAGAGAGACAGAGACAGACAGACACACACACACAGAGAGAGAGAGAGAGAGAGAGAGAGAGAGAGAGAGAGAGAGAGAGAGAGAGAGAGAGAGAGAGAGGTAGAGGGAAAGGGAAATGAATCACACTATGGATGCCGGGAAAAGGTAGTTGGATATTTATTAAGATAGAGAGAAGTGACTTACATGAGAAGCTGAGAACTAGGTCAGTGCTCTTATGGTCTCCAAACCTCGCCTGGTATCGAAGAGAGAGCTTTCCCTTTCTTTTTCCCCTTTCATCCCTCGCCGTTCCCATATTCCTCTGTCCACACCCCAATCAGGTGTAGTCAGTACCTCAGGTACGTGAGATCTCCCCTACAATTTCCCTTTTGGCCTAAATAAAAGATTTAGACTTGATACAAAACTCAAACATATACAGCATATATACATAGAAGATGATAAGCAAATTATAATCTATTTATATCCTATCCTAAGTATATCTATCCCATCTAAACCCTAAACTTATCTGAAAGAGATGCCCAAGTCTGAACACCTCCTTCCAATCCCAACCCTAAATGATTGAAAACTAACCACATCAGCTGTAAACTAGGGAGCTTTTCCTTTCTTTTCCCCCTTTTATCCTTCACCTTTCCCACGTGCCTCTGTCCACACCCCAAACAGGCCATGTCAGTACCTCAGGTACGTGAGATCTCTCCTACACACACAGAGAGAATGTAAAGTTAAAACAGGAACACTAGTTTTGGTGGGAAAATGTAGGGAGGATGGTGGTGGAAGAGAATGTGAAACTTGCTTATGAAAATACCACCACAAACCCATTACCTTTTATGCTAATCTAAAAAGGTCATTTGAAAATGTTATGTATCTCAAAAAAAGATTGCTAAGTGGCTTTTAGCTTTAAAATGTTAGCATTTCAATGAAAAAATTATTTAATTCTTACCAGGCATTCAAAAATACAAATTTTAGAAATGTGTGTGTATCTTTCTCTCTCTCTCTCTCTCTCTCTCTCTCTCTCTCTCTGTGTGTGTGTGTGTGTGTGTGTGTGTGTGTGTGTGTGTGATGGCATGCATGTGGAGGTCAGAGGACAACTTGTGGGAACTGGTTCTCTCCTTCCATCATGTGGGTCTAAGGATCTAACTCAAGTCAACAGGCTTAGTGGCTTTAATCCCAGCACTCGGGAGGCAGAGGTAAGCATATCTCTGTGAGTTCGAGGCCACCCTGGTTTACAGAGCACATTCCAGGATAGGCTCCAAAGCAATACAGAGAAACCCTGTCTCGAAAAAAAAACTAACAAAGAACAGGCTTGGTGGCAAGTACCTCCACTTGCTGAGTCATTTCTCTGGTCCTGAAACATGCAAGTTTTAACACTGAGGTATTATACGTCTAGGACTGTCATAAATGACTCAGTACAGTATACACTCCATTAGTGCCTAGGTTCTCTGGAGTTGTGACCTGTGGCCTTGTTGTCCTTTGCTTTATGTCTAATATCTTCTTATGAGTGAGTATATATTATATTCGTCTTTCTGGGTCTGGGTTTCCTCACTCAGGATCGCTTTTTCTAGTTCTGTCTTTTTGCCAGCAAATTTCAAGATTCCATTGTTTTTTCCAGTAATACTCCATTGTATAAATGTACCACATTTTTCTTATCCATTCTTCAGTTGAGGGGCATCTAGGTTGTTTCCAGGTTCTGGAAAGGGGAAAGTGACAAGAGCTCCTGAGCAAATTGGAGCACTGGAGTGGGGAGGGGAGAGGAGAGAAGAGGTAGGAGAAACAGAAGGGGAGAAAGGGAATGAGGAGCAGAACATGAGGGATCAGAAAGACTCAGTCGGGGGAAGAATAGGGGAGAGCAAGATAAGAGATACCATAATAGAGGGAGCCACTATAGGTTTAATGAGAAACCTGGCACTAGAGAAATGTCCAGAGATCCACAAGGGTGACCCCATCTAGGAATCTAAGCAATAGTGGAGAGGCTACCTTAAATGCCTTTCCCCTATAATGAAATTAATGACTACCTTATATGACATCCTAGAGCCTTCATCCAGTAGCTGATGGAAACAGAAACAGAGACCCACAGCTAAGCACTGAGCCAAACTCCTGGAATCCAGTTGTAGAGAGGGAGGAAGGGTGAGGAAATGGGTCAAGACCAGGCTGGAGAAACCCACAGAAACAGCTGACCTGAGCAATTGGGAGCTCATGGACCCAGTCTGACAGCTGGGGAACCAGCACAGGACCTAACCAAGTCCTCTGAATGTGGGTGTCACTTAGGAGGCCTGGGCAGTCTATGCGGCTTCTGGCAGTGGAATCAGGATTTTCCCTAGTGCACAAATGGACTTTGGGGACCCCATCCCCCATGGAGGGATACTCTCTCAGTCTAGATACGATATGATATGACAGACTGATGATCCTCCATGGAAGGCCTCATCCTCCCTGGGGAGTGGCTGAGGGTGGAATGGGGGGGTTGGTGTGGGGCATGGGAGGATGTGAGGGGGAGGGAACTGGGATTCATCTATAAAATAAGATTGTTTCTAGATAAAAAATGATAGAAAAATAGCAGGTAGATTGTAATTGGGTTTCTTATGTGAAAAAGTGTATTCTGGAATGTAACAGATCAATTTCTCTTACAGTTCTAAAGAAAAAAATAGTGAACCAACAATACTGTAGCAGCCAATCATGTTTATTACCAACTGTCCTAGTTAGGGTTCTATTTCTGTGATGAAATACCATGACCAAAACCAAGCTGGGGAAGAAAGGGTTTGTCTCACTCACAGTTCCATGTAATCGTTCGTCACCAAAAGTAGTGAGGGCAAGAACCTGGGGGCAGTAGCTGATGCAGAAGCCAAGGAGGGGTGCCGCTTACTGATTTGCTCCCCACGGATTTCTCAGGAACCCAGGACCACCAGCCCAGGGATGGCATCGCCCACAATGGGCAGCCCCCCTCCCATTGAGCACAACTGAGAAAATGCCTTGCAGCTCACGGAGGCATTTGATATAGTACTTTTAATAAACCATTTTGATTTGAGAACTGACATCTTTTTACAATGGAGCCTTTCTGTAAGAGATTAATACCAAAAAACATAAGGAACTTTTTGAACAATTCAGCAATAGGGGAACTTTAAATAATTCAGTTGTTTAAATTGACAAAGGATCTGAACAGACATTTTTATTTTAAAAAGATTGAAATATCCAACAGATTATAAGAAAAATGCTCAATATCAAACTGAGATATCGACTCATTTTAAGTATGAATGGCTATTATCACAAGGACAAAAACAACTGTTGGCAAGAATGTTCTCAGCTACTGATAGCAGCAGGATCCGGAGCACCATGAACAAGGACAGAGAGGTAGGTTAAAACAGGAAGCTCTTCTATGCAATACAGAGATACTTCTTGGGAATTTGGGGAATGCATGAAGGAACCAAAGATATTTACTTACGTTTGTTATCTGAATAAAGGTGGTATATATTATTTTGGTTACCCATACGTGTATGTGTGTGTATGTGTGTTTGGACTGAGCGACAAACAGCTGCTTGGATACAGGGAATGAGAGGCTCTGGAATGCAGGGCAGCGCATTCCTTGCTTCTTGGTAGGGCACAGAGAATGGGACCATCCCGTCTCCATTCACCCTCAGCTGTCTCAGTTTTAGTAGACTCGAATCTAATCCGGGGGCAGGTGTTTAGAGCCATCAAATCTTTCCTCTAGCAATCAGTAAAGACTCTGGGTTCTTAAATACATGTTTTACCTTAATTAAATAAGTTAGGATTAATAATGTTGCTTTTATTTTACCATATTGCAAGTTGAGGCAAAGTAGGAAAAAAAGAGCAATATAAAATGGTCCAAATCAGGCAATTGGCTGTCTTTTCTTACAGTATTCATAAATCATGCAAAAAATCCAGTTTTCAATTTTAAAAACAAATTAATTAGTGCATTTTGAAAACTATATTTCCACAATCAGTATAATTTTTGTGTGATAAATGCATATATATTGCAATTAGTAAGGTCTGCTGGGTTTTCTTCTTCTATTTAGATTTTTCTACAATTATGCATGTTATAAAACATAAATTTTATGTCCTTAATGTAAAAGTAAAGCTGATTGTTAACAAGTGGGCAGAAAAATTTAAAGAAACCCATTTTACTCTGTGTCTCTTTTTTCTAAAATCGTGTTTGGTATAGGAGTGTAGGGGAAATGCTGGACTTTCCCAACTGAAAGGGAAAGGGGAGAAGGGAAGAGCATCTAGGGGTGGAATAAAGAAAAGCCAGGATTACTCCTAGAAGAGGAAGAAAAAGCCAACTCAGTCTCTGCATTAACCATAGAAAGGCAAATCCCAACCACAAAAGAAGCTCCTTCTGGTTTGGGGACTAACAAAGAGAAAATGAATAGCAGAATCTGGTGTGGCCAGGAAGGAAGGGGAAAGGCTGCCTCCTGTCGCAGTGTTGGCGGGAGTGTAGTGGGAGTCCTGATCTCACTGGTGACGTGACCCTCACGTGAGCCGAAGCAGACGTGTGCAGACGTTGTTCTAATTCTGGTCTACAATCGGTGTTTGCTCTCTCTGTTATTGCCTGACAGCGAGCAGGCCTGCTACGGAAGGAGGAGGAGAAGGTAATTGCCTGGATGCCAGCAGGTCTGTGTTGTGGACAGGGTTGCGGGGGGGGGGGGGGAAGAAGCCTGGGGATCGCTGTCTTGTGGGTAGCGGTTAGCAGAGATGCCAGCCTGCTCTCCTCACGCACTTACAATGTCTTCGGACCCTCTTAGAACAACAACAACAAAAACAAGAAAAAAAATCCCGGTGGACATTGGAGGGAGAGATTCCAGGGGAGACCCCTGACTAGGTTTGGGGGGCGGGGAGTCGGCTTTGGCATGTCAGGACCTAGAGTCCGGAAGGGCAGGTATTATGGATTGGTGCATGGATCCACCTACAGAGACAGGATTTTGAGGCAGTGAGACTCTTATCCTCTGTCATTCAGTAGAGTGCAGTACCTTTTGGAGCAAAGGAATAATCGACATCGAATTTCTGCATGTCAGTCTAAAGCTGAGATTGCCTAAGGTACGCAAATGGGTGGTGATGGCTTAGGGCTTTATCATAACGCTAGACCATTATTGAATCTTTAGCTATCTATGTGTCTGTTCTCCCCTGTCCCCGCCCCAGGAAAAAGGACAGTTCTCACAGAAGAAAATGGCTATCTTTGGGGGTGGGCTGGGGTGGGGAGAACAGAAGAGATCTGTCATCTTCCACAGCTCGAGTTTTCCCGACTTGCTGGGCCCGCCTCCAGCCCTGCGCTTCCAAAGGGGTGTGGTTTTTGCTGGGAAAATGGCCGACCACGGCAGAAAGGAGTGCCAGGATGTAGAAATATAGCGCCCGGCGGTGTCAGCAGAGTCCAGAGAACTGGGGGTAGGGTGAGAAATAAAATCATGAAATCCGTCTGACCAACCAGGTTCCCAGATTTGAGGAAGCTGGCATTTAGACGGTCTAAGTTTTGTGTTTTGTCTCTTCTTAGGCGTCTGTTTCTGTGGGTCTTGCCCCTGAAGACCAGTCCAAACGGAGGAGCAGGGGAAGGAGGAAAAATTTCCTGAATCAAGTAGGTCAGAGGGGGCATGATGACACTCTTTGGGAGGGGAGTCCTTGGGGTAAAAGATAACGGTGACAATGAACTTGAGTGGACTCAGACTTTCTCTGCAACCCTGTTTCCCTTTTTTTGTTGTTGTTGTTTACTTTGTTTCTCTGCATCCTCATTGTACTTTGGTCCTGAGCTTACAAAAGGAAGTGCTTTGCAGATCAGAAACCCAGAAGGAGATGGTTAGGTGGGGATATCTGTAAAGAATGCTGGGTTTGCAGATGGGGATGACATTATTCTAAAATCCTGTATGGTCCTTGGTTAGTCTAATAGGCACCCAGTCTGTTAGTCCTTAAGTTTGTGAAGTGAGGGAGGAAAGAAATTTCGCAGGGCAGTGAAAATTGATACAATTGTTCAATAGAGTGAGAGGCTGCATTGAAGACAGTTGTGGCAGAAGCAAGTGTGGATGCACATAAAGTCCGATTTCTAGGTACTGCTGTCCATTGCTTCACAAGTTAGGGTATGTAGTATCACCTTTGGAAGAAGTGACACACAGGGTAGCGGGGCAGGGCAGGAGACTGATCTTCCAAGGAGGAGGGGAAGGGAGATAATGCCGCATCCCTGGGCAGAGAGGACGGTAATAGAAGGTAAGAAACACTGCAGTGAAGGGCAAGACCTGGAAATTCAGAAGATATATATATATCCATCCATCCTTTTGGGGTGTAATTTATCTGACTCTTGAATTCTCCGATCCTACCTCTGTATTCTTTTGTTTGCAGATCTGCAAGAGTCTGGAAAAGCGGAAGGGACTACTTGGATGTAAGGGTGACCCTGTGACCCTGACTCAGGACGTCTGGAAGGGTAAAGATCATAGGTAACATATAAATCTATTCAATTTAACATTCTTGGAATGGGTGGAAGAACATAAAGTTGGAGAATCTGGGTGTTTAGAAAACTTCCAAAATTGCTTTCAGATAAAGGAAAGGAATAATGATGAGAATAGCTAGTCTCAAATGCTAGCCAATATCTCTGTACATTTGTATGTTTGTAAGCAAGTGACTCAGTCTATATATGTACAAAGGCACAACCTGGGAAGTTGAAAGTCTGAAAGCCTTTCCTTCCTCTAGGTCTCCCTGTATCTGCTGTGTTAGCTGCTCCTACCTACAAGAGCTGAAGACTTTGCCCTGACTTGAGAGTACTCTGGACCAGAGCAAGCCAGCTTTGTGTCCAGGTTAAGGGATTCACTCCGGCTGTACCATGGGCCGCACTCGCGAAGCTGGATGTGTGGCTGCCGGCATGGTCATCGGGGCTGGTGCCTGCTACTGTGTATACAGACTGACCTGGGGAAAAGATGAGAATGATAAACTGTGGGACGAGGAAGAAGATGAGGAAGAGGAGGAGGAAGAGGAGGGAGAGTCTTGTAGTGACAAACCAGAGACTGGGGGCAAAACTGAGAAAGGAGTTAAGACTAGTGCTGGGGTGGGGGCAGGAGTCAAACCTCAGGATGACTCAACGGCCAAGGCTGATGATGTAAAGGAGAGCGGTCCGGGTGTAAAGATCGAAGCACACCCAGAATCCCAGGGTGGAGGTGGCCTAGAAGCTAAGGCTAAGGCCCTTTTCAAGATCCTAAAGGAACAGGCGAGTGCAAAGGCAGGCAGAGGGATCAGGTTTGCTAACATCTCTGGGACCAGGACCCTAGCATCGAGTTTGCCTTGCCCTGGAGGCAGGGGTGGAGGCTGCCACCCAGGCAGAAGTGGAGCTAGGGCTAGGAACAGGACAAGTGGAAAAGCCAAGAGAAAGAATCGCAGTAAGAGCAACAAGGCTCCAGCCACAGCGTGGCCTGTACGCAGGGGCAAGTTCAACTTCCCCTATAAAATTGATGATATTCTGAGTGCCCCTGACCTCCAAAAGGTCCTTAACATCTTGGAGAGAACAAATGACCCTTTTACTCAGGAGGTGGCCTTGGTCACACTGGGTAACAATGCGGCATATTCATTTAATCAAAATGCCATACGGGAATTGGGTGGTGTCCCAATTATTGCAAAACTGATAAAAACGAGAGATCCCATTATTAGGGAAAAGACTTACAATGCCCTTAATAACTTGAGTGTTAATTCTGAAAATCAGGGCAAGATTAAAACTTACATCAGTCAAGTGTGTGACGATACCATGATCTGTCGCTTGGACTCAGCTGTGCAGATGGCTGGATTAAGACTGTTAACCAACATGACTGTGACGAATCATTACCAACATTTGCTTTCCTATTCCTTTCCAGACTTTTTTGCTTTGTTATTCCTGGGAAATCACTTCACCAAGATACAAACTATGAAACTGATTATAAACTTCACTGAAAATCCAGCCATGACAAGAGAGCTGGTCAGTTGTAAAGTCCCATCAGAGTTGATTTCCCTCTTTAATAAAGAGTGGGATAGAGAAATTCTTCTTAACATTCTTACCCTTTTTGAAAATATAAATGACAACATCAAAAGTGAAGGACTTGCATCATCCAGGAAAGAATTCAGCAGGAGCTCACTGTTTTTTCTATTCAAAGAATCTGGAGTATGTGTTAAAAAAATCAAAGCGTTAGCAAATCATAAGGATCTGGTGGTCAAGGTGAAAGTTCTGAAAGTCTTAACCAAACTGTAATGTACAATCTGTTCCAAGCAACACTGAAGCAATTAAGTTTGTACGTGGGAACAATGTGTTTCATAAATTCTTTAGTTTCCATTACACTTGTGTGGCAAAGAGATCCCTTGAGCTGCTATTTAGGAATAATGAACATCACAGATTATCAATAGCCGTTGATGCTGGCTTTAGACTGAGTCATTTTAAATATGCCAAATATTAGAGCTTGCACAAAGACAGCATTTATCAATTCAACTTTGCTACCTAGGATGAGATATTTTTATTGCTTACCTAAACCCACAGTGAAGTAACTATATGTCTTAAATAAGCTATACTTTTCTATTGATTTGAATTTGTCCATTTAACAGTTGTACTTTATCAATAAAGTTAAGTTTAAGCAGTAGAAAGAAGACATTGTCTTTGTCCTTGGGTTCAAGATCTGATTGTGTGTGTGTGTGTGTGTGTGTGTGAGAGAGAGAGAGAGAGAGAGAGAGACAGAGAGAGACAGAGACAGAGAGAGAGAGAGACAGAGAGAGAGAATAAAGACTATGTGCTTTATGTGTGTTTATATATAAAATCTGGAGGAGCTTCTAGTCGTGGGCAAATGCTTCCTATCAGTGCTTAGAGGCAACAGAAGCCACTGTATACAATGTTGCAGGGGAATGTTTTATGGGGAGGGGGACTTAAGAAGGCTGAGCTTGAAAAATAAATTACAAAAGATCTGCAGATTATTCAGGGCAGATTGGGGGAAGAAAAGCCCGGAGGTCTGGATCCAGCTTCAAAGAGCATGCTGGTGAGCTTGTGTGAGAATGAAAGAAGAATTCCTTCTATAAAAGTTCGTAAAATGTCAACGGTGCTGACAGCTTATTGGGAAAGGATTCTTACAGTCAATTGTCCGAGAGTAACTGTCATGGAAGATTAGCAGAACCACAAGCATGTACGGATGCTGCTGAACCGACACAAAAGTACACTAAGAAGGCTTTCTGCCCAGGAGCCAGCTGTTCAACAATCGATTGATAACATGCATCTTAGCAGTCATTGTGACCAAGAATCATTGTTTGAAAACATCAGAAAGGACCTTCCTTGGTTTGTCTTTACAACTTTCCCCTTGCCTCAGACTCTTTGAGTATGCCCACGGCTTACTATGTTATGTGGATTTGAATAGTAATGCACCCATTTACTCTCGAATAAGAATCAGTAGTCTTTGGTTAATCTCTCTCTGATGTTTTGTTTTTATTTTTTTATCTGGATTGATGATAGGATAAGCTGGATCCAACAAGTGCTGGGTGAGACTAGTGTGGGCATGGCTGGGCCATTTCCTGATGTCCAGTGTTTCCCTGGAAGGTTGCAGCTCCCAACCATTTTAGGAAGAGCAGAGTCCTGGCCTGGGACTGTCTGCAGAGCTCATGGGGCAGGTCAGGGACAAGTTACTTTCTTCTCTTTTGGGGATGGTGTTAAGAGACCCAGCGGATAACCTGCTATTTTGATTTTCTCCTCCAACAGTTTTAGGATCTGTGTCAATGTAAATGTGTTCAAAGATAATTTTCTAATAATGGGGCTCAGTGGTTTAAATCGTCGACCCCCCAAAGAATAACTTTTCAAGGCTCAGGAAACAGGCTTTCTTTCTTTAATTCACATTTCATGGGCGTTATTTTAAAAGAAACTCCAGAATGGGGTAGGCAATTGATGTAACCACCATACATTTCATATGCTTGAATGTCTGGTTTTGCTAGGTTCTCTTGAGAGTGGCTTTGAACACCACAATAACATAAGACTGTTTTTCCATGTCGGCTGTTTACACCACACCCCTGGCTGAAGCTTGTCCCTGGTTTGTCTGTTTAAGTTGTGGCTCTTCCTTGATTTTAACTCAGAGCAGTCTCAGCTCTTCTGTTAGGTCTCCAGTGTGCTCAGGCTGAGGGCAAGGTGGGGGCAGGGGAGGGGTATTTACTACTGACAGAGCTGCACCCTCTCCACTGGGGCCTTGTGAGGCCTGTGTTGAGAGCTTGGGCAGTGTGTGTTCCTGAAGAGGGGTGTGGGAAGATTGGGAGGGAAGGCAAGGGATAGAAGCCCTAGTGGAGGGGTAAGTTTGTCTGCCTAGGTTCATGCAAAGGTAATTTGATCCCCTATTGAGAGTGGGCTGGCCATTAACATCCTGGAAGGTGAAAGAGGAGCTCTAAAAAGGGCAGCTTTGTTTGAGCTTGCAGCCTCCTGGTTTACTGAGCCTTGCTTAGCTTGCAGAGGACATGACATGCTTTCAAATAAAGCGGGACTTCCTATTGAAAATAAAATTCAGAATGGTAATTTATTACTGTGAGAAATAGAGTTAATAAGCACAGCAGATTCTTAATGTTTCCTGCTTAGAACATTTTCTCCCTAAGATCAATGTAGATTGCAATCAATGTCTTCATAGAGGGTTGTTTATTTAACAATCTGGAATTAAGACAATTTAGATAGATATTGCTCCCATCAAAGTAAGATTAGCTTTACTTAGCTTTGTTTATGAAAATGTGATTAGTGATTGACATTTCCTTTTTTTTCTCTTTATGGCTTCTAGGCTTTGGTCATACTACAGAACCCTGTAAATTGTATTATTATTTTTATAAATGTATTTAATATTTTTATTTAAAATATTGGTTGTGAGGCCAGAGAGATGGCTCAATGGTTAGCATTACTGGCTGTTCTTCCAGAGGGCATGTTTGATTCCCAGAACTCATATGGTGGCTCACAACCATCTGTAACTACAGTCCCAGGGGACCCAACACCCTCTTCTAGCCTCCATGGACACCAGGCATGCATGTGGTGCACAGACAAACACACAGGTAAAATATTCATACACATAAAGTAAAATAAATAAATCTAAAAAAAACCTTGATTGTACCCAAACATGCGTATTTTAAAGTAAGCATCTGTTTTCAAGACAATTTCCCAGACAAAGGGCTTATGTTATGGAGGGGCTTTTTATATTTCATCAGGGTTTGGCTATTTATACATGTTACTCCATTCCATAATAGAAACATTTTGTTTATGTTTGCTACTTTTGGGGCACAGCAAAATTCTATCTTTTACCACAGAGCTCATTTCATTAAAAGTTAAAAGTCTGGTGGTTTCTTAGCTCAGAAACAGAACCTTATCTGTTGACAACTTAGTGGGATATACAATGTATGGAGACATGAGTGAAGAAAAAGGGGGAATTAAGGCAAAGATAGATGAAAAACAAGCGCAAGAGTTAGTCACCATCTAGACATAATCTCTCAAAGCATAGTGGATTAAATTATGGTTTCCAAGAACAGTGTCAGTAGAAGGAATGTAAAACTGGTGTGAGTTTATTATATATGGTGCTAGAGATCGAACCCAGGGCTTTGATATGGCAGGCAAGCACTCTGCCATTGAACCACGTTCCCTCCATCAGCATTCCCAAGCAGTTGGTCTCTTGCGTCTCCATTACCTGGTAGGTGACACTATGTCATGTGACTACTCAAGCTGTAGCTCGAAGCAGGCTGGCAATGACTTGAACTCTAGGAATGTACAAGCAGGGCGAATCTTTGTTTTCTTTCTTCTGGACAGGAAATAAAGCAGTTAATCAAGCCTTAGGATTAAACATGGAGTCCAATGGGTCTAGGATGGCACATAAATTCAAGTAGGTAGGAGACACTCACAATCTTGCTGCTGCTGTAGGAAGAGACATCCAAGCTGTGTTCTGGGAAACAGTTTTATTTATGCATATAACAAGACCCAGGGGATATTAGTTCCAAAATACTGAACCCTTCAGTGTCTGAAGGATTGGGACATGTTATCAATTTTTTGTTTCTTTGACTTCTAATTAAATGCACTGTGATTTGGGTATTTTAGACTCGGAGGGAGGGGCTGCTAGAATGAGAAGGGAGGGCAAAGGGAAGAGCTGCAGGGGAGACGGATGGTTAGTCGAGTATGTGACGCCTGGCGCATATGTCTGTCCTGGCCATTGAGCAGACCACATGGCTGCTTCCTGTTTTTCTTTCTCGAATCCCTCGAGGGACCGCTCCTTCTACCACATCATGAGTCCATCATGAAGGGTTCTATAAGGACCACAGGATTCTATGCACTATACTTTGGGTTTTGAAAACTATTTGGTTTGTAAAAGTGGTCTGAACCAAAATTTTGAAGTCAGCAATTGAAATACTCATATATATCATTTTCCCCTCAGGAAGCATTACAAAAAATGTGCTAATCAGCACATTTGAGTATTATAAAATCTGCTGGTCACTTCTCTTATCCAAGATATAATGCATATGTTGTCAATCTGTGCATTACAAACAAAGAATAGACACTATAATATAATAACTATAAAGCATAGTTTAATCCTGAAGATATGAGTAGTTTTATCCCATTTTTATCAAATATTGATATTAGGTCATGCTCGATTTTCATGTGCATAATGATATCTCTATCTCAATATAGAAAGCTTCCTCATTTAAAAATATTTTGTGCATATATGTACATGGATGTTTTGCTTGCATGTGTGTCTCTGCACCACGACTGCATTGTGCCCACAGACACCAGAAGAGTGCATCACCTGATGGCTGTGAGCCACCATGTGGCAGAAAAGTGTATCAGCTGATGGTTTCGAGCGACCATGTCTATTCTGGCTATTCAAACCTAGGTCATCTTTAAAAACAACCAGTGCTCTTAATCACTTAGCATCTCTCCAACACCTCTCTTCCATTCCATTTGAGACAGTTTCACTATGTAGCCCAAACTGGCCTGGAACTCAAACTTGGTATCTTCTTGCCTCAGCCTCCTGAGTGCTGGAATTCCATGTGCACAAAATCATTATTAGCCAAGAAATATCTCTCAATAGAGAGAAATTTTATCGATGTTTTTCCTCATTTTATTCTATTCTCTTAAAAACTTTCCCATTTTATAGTATCATGAAGATTATATACATTGTATCCTAGAAGCTTCTTTGTTTTGTCATCCGTATCTGGATTTATAATTCACTTGCAGTTTACTTTGTACAGGATTTTTATTATGTTTTTCTCTCGAATGGCTATCTACTTGATCCAGCACTGTTTTTGGAGGAGATCTTTCTTTTTCCACTTTACCAGGTCACCTCTGTGTTGATCATGCTGGTGTATGTGTGTATTTTAGACTTCCTATTCATTTACCATTTCACCAATGTGCTTGAATCTTGTCACAATTAAGGTAGTTTTATAATACAATATAACATTTGATACTATAGATTATCTTTATTGTTAGTTTCCAAGGTTGTCTTGGTTATTCTTAGACTTTTCCATTTCCACATAAGGTTTTTGCTTTCAAAACTGAGGATTGAATGCAAGAGCTATACCACTCTGATCCTTCTATATAGGTTTTTTTTAAATGTTTGTTAAACACACACATTTTAAGATTTTTTTGTTGGGATTG